AAAAGTTGATTATAGAGAATTACTGAAAATTAGGGTATGCATCAAGCCGGCGTAGGTGGTATAGTAGTAAGTGCCACCGATTATCAACCATATTTCGGAGCCAGATCTGAGATCGAATGCTCGTCCGGCCGCTTTATCTCTTCAGAGTCGGTAAGTTTGTGCCAGATTTCAACAGAGCATTAGTGGATTGTACTTGGCTGTCCGCAAGGCTGCGTTTATACTTTGCGGCAGCGTACGCCTGCGTACGCAGCGTTTCCAGCGTTCGGCAGCGGCAGTGGCAATGGAAGAATGGACATCGATCTAGCGTCACCAGCGTACGCTAGCGTAACGCTAGAGTATTCTAGAATACGCTAGCGACCAGCGTAACGCTGGAATACTCTACGTTACGCTAGTGTACACTAGCGTAGCGAGGGCAAGAAAAGCATAGGTACCGATTTAGCGTTTTTAGGCATTATACGTATACGTATGTTATATGTAATATATAGGGTTTGGGTTTACATAGAGCTTGGGTTTTCTCTGAAGGGTTTGGCGATATGGGCTCCGCCTTCCCTGACTACGCCCACTTGCGTTTTGCGGAATTTTGGAATTTTGATTTTTTTTCAAAATTTTTGCGTTTTTGGTCTGCTGCGTGAAGCCCCACCCACTGTGAGAGGCTCCGCTTACTCCGAAGAAGCCCAGCCTTTTTTTAAAAATGGTGCAAATCGGCAGTATTAGAGTCTTCGTGATGCAATCGGCATCAGGGGTCTTAATCCGTCACTCGGAACAAAATTAGCGTGATTTATTTGTGATTTGATTTATTTCGCCAATGGAAGAGATGGCGACTGATCAATTTTTCCGAAATGCGCCAAGTATTCTCTTCGTTCTGAATCGCAGAAGCACCTTAAAGCTGGTAAAATACAGAATAGCGTCCTCTTTTTTGCAAAAAATCTACTGTCATTTGAGAAGCAGAGAGCCTTGGTGAGCTAGAGATAGAATTTCCAGGGTGAATGGTGAAATACAAGTGCTTCAAGTTTTTGGCCTTCCCCACCGTACTCGTGCGAATTCTACTCCACCGTATTCCACGAAATGGACAAGCACAAAAATTCAAATAATAAATCACGTAATTCAATTTCCTTCAAGACTTTGCTGGTTAATCTCATATCGCTGAATTATGCCTAGGGTCATTAAGTTCTTATGATATACTAGTCTCCATTCACTTCCATATAATACAAATTATTGTAGCAGAAGCCATGTAATCATCTTTTTTATTGTGATAGCTGCTATTTAACGTCGCACTCGATAACAAGAATGCTGAGCCTAAGTGCAAACAGGCAAAAGTCTTGACGCCCAGGCGGGAATAAGCATCGAATCAGAGCTTGTCACATAGTGAAGACATATAACGTGAATTCACTTTCATATAGTAGGAAAGTTTGTGTGGGAGTCTTTGAAAGTTCACTCATCTTTTTATTTAAATGTAAAACCGACTACCTAATATAATCCTAATAATGATCCTACCGAATCCTACCGAATCCACTTTCAGCAATTGCGTCCTCGAGAACTATGTGGCGATCTGATTGTTTCTGGCCACACACTGACGATTTTCACCTCATTTTATACTTTCAAATATTATGCGCCGAAAAAGTTGAAGGTGAGTTCTACTCCTCAGTAAATTCAGATAATAATCCATTTTAGCATAATTATCAGTAGTGATGTAATCAGGGCATTAAACAGCCATATCTCGGCAGTGCAGGGGAGTGGCCGCATACTCGGTAGAGAGGGTGAGTGAGTGCTCGTAGACAGCTACCCCTCTAGACAGAGAGGTAGACGGCCCAACATACTAGAAAGGTAGACTGCACAAGGAAACACATGGTGTACCCCCACTCTCTCCTAATCGACAATTTTCCACGTAAATGTAGCTGCCACCACGCTCATAATAATAGTAGACGCTAATAATCTTGCAAGTGGGGGGGGGGACCTTGAAGGGCTCATTATGCAAACTTGCGCAGCTACTGGCCTTCAATGTGTGGTGGGAAAGGGGCTGGAAGCGCACCAAAACCCACGTAACGCTGTCACACCTTGACTAACTTCAGTGATAACGACTGTGATAAGGATGGGCATACTATGTATGAAAATGGGGCACCCACCTAGACTTCATTCCCTCTTCAGGATCAGACAGAACCATTCTTTCTCCTTCCTTTTATCTCCCCCCCCCACTCCCGGCTCCAGGGTTATAAGTTCTTATGCTGACAACAATAATAAGATACAAATGATGCAGTAATTGTTCAATTTAGCTGACCCCCATAATCAACATTGCCGAGCTGTCTGCTCTAATTATATCTCTTTTCAGCCACTTTCGTACATGCTGAATATGTTGGCTGTTATGGCAATACTGGCGATTCTCTTTGCTCGAAAGCACTACACAATCGATGTTCTCTTAGGGTAAGTGGTTCAAAAAGAATAAGACGTTGGACCCCCTTCTCGACTGATTTTATGTCGTTGAACGTTTGTGGAATGAAAGGGA